GGGTGAAATCTTCCCAAGTCCCTCACAAACTCTTTGTCTCCTTTTTACCTTGACTTTCATGAGATTTTTGCCTCATCTCTGCCCTGCATTGCTTTTTTAGCCCCAGCCCTTTTGCTTTCCCTCTGCTTCCTTGCAGCCGCTCAGCTCCCTGAGCCATCTCTCTGACTTTTTCCTCTTCTCCTTCTGCCATTCTCAGATGCTTATTTTTATTGTTAAGCTTTGGGGTTTTTAAATTTCATTGACCCCAGTGATGTCAGGTCAGATTGTCTGTCAGCAAAACATCAGGTTGCCAGAAAATGAAGGACAACTCACAGGAGAGACAAGGAGAAAATAATAATAACAACAAAAATTAAGAAATCCCCCGAGGAGCTGAGATGCTTTCCTGGAGAGGATGCAGAATTGCTCAAGGGTCTATCTCCAAAAATACTGCTGGCCTAGAAGGTAGAAGGATTCAGACACATGGTAACAGAGATAGGAACAACTTCAGTGGGAGTGGGGCATTATGTACAGAGGGTACATCTGCCTAAACACATGAATTATGCACAGACAGCTTGGAGGTTAAGATGGAAACAGCTTTGATTTGTGCTTTTGAAAGGGCCCTCCAGCATAAGGTTGAAGGAGAACATGCTCTTTAGGGGACCACATGGATAAGGAGTGGAATGGGAGGACATACATGGACCTCTGCTGAGGACTGCAAGATGCTGGCATGAGCAACTCTTAACCTGTCCTTTTCACCACACTTTCCCTGAGCATCCTCACTTGCCTTTGGGCATATTCCCAGGTGAGATGCTCCTTTGACCTCCCTCAATCCCAAATTAGCACACCCTTCCTAATAGAAAGACATGGGGCAGACAGCCTCCTTCGGCACCAGAGAAAGATGTGAGGTCTGAAAGTGTTCTGCCTTCATTGCTGACTTCCTCCTGAGAAAGGATGCCCTGCCTGCAAATCCTAAATTAGGGGGGACAGACCCCAGGCAGTGCCAGGGAAGGAGATCTGCTCAGTGGGAGCCTGCCAAAGAGGAAGCCCATGTGAAGCGGGGTCTCTTACCACCCAGCCACATGTTAGGGCATTGTAAAGCGCTGTACTGTGAAGTGGCAGGATAGCTATTAACTGAAAGCTGCACAGTGAAACTGTGAATAAAATCTAGTTCTATTGAGCCTTTAAGAAGTCCTTATGGATCATTTAAGAGCAACGATGAGCTCTGGCATGAGCTGTTGGCATAGGTGGGGGTTGTGCCGCACAGGGAGCAGCTGAGAAGGTCTGTGACACATACTGCTCTGAAGAACATCCCTGCTCTCCATACACAGGGCCCATAACTCAAAACTTCGCAGGAATCAAATGCCTTGTGGCTGAATCATGCTGTGTTTGGCTTTCCTGCATGTGACCTTGACTGGGAAACCTTGATGGTATGTGTCATTCTCCTTGAGATGGAATAAACTCTGCAAATTTACCAGGAACGAGCAGATGGCGTGGTTGGTAAAGCCAGGAGAGGATACTACAGCTAGTAGGGGTCTTCGGCCTCACAGGCTACATTTTTTCTCTCTCTGAAAGCCACCAGAAGACCTTTCCAGATAAAAATGTTTCACACATCAGCACCACCAGTCATTTGCTTGCAATTTACTCTGTAACTGTACTTCAATTCCTCTTTCACAATCACCCCTCCTTTACGGCACACCGGGACTGCCATAAGCCACAAAGCAGGGAGGCAGTCACTAGAGGTAGGGCCAGTGGGGCCCCAGGCAAAATAATGGGCCACCCTTCCTTGCATCCTAAAAAGAACAGCTGGAGGGTGGGGAGAAGGCGGCTTTGCGATTAAATCACAGCTCAGCGGGCTCTGCAAGGCAAGCCCTGAGACGGGGAAGGACAACGCTGCACACAGCTGGTTTCACCAGCTCTTGGGTTTGGCTTGGAGGAGGGTTGGGGTGCTTTAGCAGCAACCCAGTACATGAGCAATAAAGATTTACCTCCAGCTCCTTCCTAACCCTGAATGCATATCCTGGTGTCCCCAGCACGGCCATGGGTACCGCCCTGTGTCACCACATCCCTCCCTCCCACATGCTCTCCCCCTCCTTCCCTTGTTCCTTTTAATTAGCAACTTTTTCTTTGTTCCCTTTAATTACACGGGGTGGGGGCAGGAGAGGGGAGGGGGAGGCTGCTGTGAGCCAGATGAGTTATTATCGCCACACACAAGATCAAAGGCTGGGAGCTCTCTTCTAGTCCTTAATTTGGGCAGCGTCTTTGGGCAAAAGACTCTTTTCTTTGTGGTTTTTCCATGGATGGTGGTTGGGATGGGGAGGCATATGCTGGGCTGGGGGGGGGGAGGGCTGTAGCCCAGGAGGGTGAGCTGCGAGCAGGACTTTGGCTCCTCTCCTTTCAAGAGGAATTTAGGTGGTGCCTGAACTCCACATGTGGGCATCTCGGGCAGGTTTCCTAATGCCCATGCATAAAACTTGATGGTCCAGATACTCACCTTGGGGAGGAGAAGATGGCCAGTTTTTATGTGGATGGGGCATGCAGCTCTGCCAGAACTTTAATGTAGTGAGAACACTAATTATGGGAAAACAGAGGCGAATGTGGGAAAATAAACCGCACAGGGATTTAAGGAATAATGGCTTTAGCTAAAGGTAGGAGCAAAGGTCCATGCTGTAACATCTATTTTTACACGTATATTTTTCAAGCATGAGTGGGATCCTCTAATGAACAATGTGTCTTTTCTGGGGGGGAGTGAAATATATTCTGGGGTGCCAAAGCTTCAGAGAAACTTGGCCTTAATTTAATTTTTAATTTGGATCTAGCATAACAGTATTAGGGGACACTTCCTCACCTTGAGCTCAGCAAGACAATGCACCGCACCTCGCACTAGGTATCTGCACCTTGGGGAGTCTCCATAATCAGGTCTTTTTGGGTCCACGGGACTGTAACAGGGTGATGTTATATTTTTACCAAGGTTTACCCTCTTACTAAACATGCTTTAGAGCCTCTCTGTCTCACATGCCATACGATAATTTCTGTCCTATCTGTAGCATGTCCTGCATAGCCTACATACCATTTTAATAACTTTTTGGTGCCTTTTCTTTTTTTTTTTTTTTTTTGTGAACTAGTTCATAATTACATGATGCTGGAAAAGAGAGACTCAATGCTTTAACCATACGATATTGCCTTGAAATATGGAAAGTTACAATAAACCCAAACTGGGCCTGTTATGAAAACATACGTCCTGACCAGCTCAGATCTAATGGTAGCTAAAATTAAAGAAAATGAACAAACTCATAATCTAAAGATTAAGATCTGTGTAATGCTGGAGTGTTGTCTTATAACTGGGTATGAGAAGGCAGAGGGCTGTTAATTAACTTTCTATTGACGAAACAAAGCTCATGGAGAGAAACCTTGCTAATCTGTTTTGTGCTAATCAGCACACATTATTAATTTGCTGGGAAAAAAAAAGTCATCCTCTTCCCACTTCAACGCAAGTTTAATAGGGCTGGAGTGAGGTTTCGCATTACCCAGGCTTCATTCTTTTGATGACATATGTTGCAATGCATTTCCTAGTGCATTATGAAGCTTTGGCATAAATAATTTAAGCTGAACTCCAGTTGTTAAAACAAATGAGCTAAGTATCTTTGGTGATTAATTACCCTTCCTGCCTCCTCCTTTCCCTTCCTTTTGAAAGTGCAAGCACATGTGCCACAACCCAGCAAAATGTTTCAGACTCCTCCTGCGACTGAGGGCATCCCAAAATGTTTTACCTGGCACAGGGAAGATCAGGGTGCTCAGGTTTGCTGCAAGTGCCTGTTCAGCCACAGGGAAGCCGGGAGGTGTCAGCTATCAAATCCTGCTCGTGCTGAGTCAAAAAATAAAGGCTTTGGCAGATTTAATGCTCAATGAACTCCCATTTAACCAGTGGCTTTATGGGACTTAAGTTTTCACTGGGATAAGGTTCAGCTTAGAAAGCTTGAATAATCAGTAATAACCATGCTTTTTTGGTCCTTCTGGAAGGACAGTCCTCACACGGAACTCTTACCCTGCCTGCATCACACTCAAGCCTGAGTGCACCCAGCACCCACACCTGAATCCTGCCTGGCCCCATCTGAGTTTTTTTCCTCCTGTCATGTCACAGCAATTTGGGCTATGACATATCTCCTCTAAGGAAAGGAAATCTCCTTGAAGGTTTGCTTTCCTGTCCCCTCCTCGTGCTTAGAAGAGGGCTTCATTTTACCCCTACAGCAAGCCTCCACTCACACACACCACCTGAGTCACAGCCCTAGGGTGGTACAGGCCAGAGGTGCCCCTTTGCAAGTGGAAAGCAAGGCGAGGGGCTGCCATCTGCCCTCCTACTGTGCTTGGCCTGTCCTGGGATGCTTGTGATACCTAAGGACACGTGCCAGGAATAACCATTGCTTTGCTTTCCCCATATCTTCCCTTGCCCTTCTCCCTTTCCTCAGACCTGTCAGTTCCGATTAGGCATTGAGTAGTTCCAGGCACTCTCAGGCTGCCTACGTGCTCCTGGCACCACAGGGGGGTTGCTTTGGGGAGCACCCGCAGGCTGCTGCCTTCCCGCCTGCCCGGGGAGCCAGGCAGGGATGCATATCTGTGGGCACAGCTGCACTGGACAATAAGAGTCTTCTCCTCTACCCAGAGGAGCATGGAGAGCTGTCATTACAAAAGCTTTTGGCCTTCAGGGTGAGAGGACCAAACTGATGGCATATGGATTATGTCTCTTAAAAGAGCTGGACAGATGGAAAAACCTGGGCATTAGATAAACCCCACAGATGTTTCACAACCAGTCATATAAAGTATTTCATTTAACAGCTCAAAACTATTTACAGCATCAGTTAATTTATTCTATGCTTTTCCTGCATCTTTTTTCCTTCCCTTTTCATTCCCCTCAGCCACTGAACTGCACAGTGCATCGGGCTGCTCTGCCTGAGGAGCACCTTAGCTCCTGCTGCCAAGCACCCACCTTAACTCAGTAGTCTCTGTAGCAACATCACAACCCATCACTGCAGAAAGGCAGGATGTCATGACAGCAGGGCTGGAAGGACAGACATCCAGGTGAGAGGAATACTAACTCCCTCAATTAAAAGGAAAATCCGAATTATATGAAGGCGGTGATCGCAGAAATAGAGAAGGCCCTGAGCAATACCGGGGAGTGACTTCCACATCCACTTCTCTTGCAGGATCAGCAGCTCTATAAGAAAAAAATCAAGGTGCCACAAACACTGGTTTTTTTTTCACTCACAGATGCTCTTCACCTTCCTAATGACAGCCCTATGGAGCAGCAATGGGCCCTCAGTGAAGCAAGAGAAGATGGACTATTGACCCAGGAAGAGGGGATGGGGCACTGGGGAAATGCATGCTGCAGTCACAGCACCTGAACAGAGGCTGGAGAGTGGAAATTCCCATCGGGAGAAAGCAAACATGATGGATGGCATTCCCATCACCCATCCCAGCAGTTCACCTCCAACTGTCTCTCTTCACTTATTTCTCTCACTCCTACCCTCTTTTCAAGGCGAGGAGAAGCACTGCCCATTTCTATCCTAAGGCTTGCGCTTTGCCTCCAGGGAGGTGCATCTTCTCAGCTTGGAGATGCCCCTAAACCCAGCCTGCACAGAGGGTGAGGGGCTTGGGAAGGGGGGTCCTGCCACATTTCCCAGCTCCCACAAGGTGGCAGTTCTCCATAACTGTTTTATACGCTGTGATCCCGATCTCACAAACCCACCAGCAGCAGCCATGGATTGACAGCTCTGCCAAGAGAGGACCCAAGCCCCAGCAAGATCAAAAATGAGATGGGTCTCCTGCCCATGTAAACTGCAATTCTGCAAAATGAGTATGTCCATACAAAGAAAAAAAAGCAGCACAAAAAAACTAGGACAAGGCATGGCCAAATCATACTCCTTGCATGTCCTGGGTGATTGCAGAGTTCAGAGCAGACACGTGGCAAAGCAGGAGGATGCTGGAGAGGTAGAAACCCAGGAGGGAGCCGAGAAGTAGTTCAACAAGGTTCAGAAGGTGGGGAGGAGATTTAGAGATTATGCCAGATCAAAAGGATAATTATTTTTGTTACATTTCCCTATCTGCATCACTCTACCGGTTATGCGAGAAGCCAAGCGGCTGGGCTGATTTTCTAGTTTCCAAGCAAGCTTGGTGTAAAGAACACGTTACTAAAGCCTTGGCAATAAATGCCAATCTTTCATCAGACCTGCTTGCTGTGTATTCAGGAGCAGGAGAGGCAAACCCAGTGAGACCTGGGGATTTAGTTTGCAAGACCTGGAGATTTAGTCTGTAAATGCTTCCCCTGACACCCACAGGCTCAGTGCCTCCCAAGGTGTCAAGAAGCATCGGCACAGAGCAGATTTCCCTACAAATGAAGCAGCTCTCTGGTCAGTTTGGCATCTTGATTTGGTAATTATTGGCTTCCCACTTGAACTATCTTGGGAAAAGTCACTCATCCCATATAAAGCACCTCTAGCCAGCAAAGAGATGAGTCCCAGCACAAGCTAACGCCCTTACTCACATATGGTCACCAAATCCCCAGCTGAAGCGAGGGTGAGGAGTAGAGACAGGATTTGCCTCCCCGCTCTGCCTGAAAGCCTGCGGTAGATGGCCCAGATAAGTTTCTGGTTGCCCTTCCCTCCTGGGAGGCTGCTCCCAAAGCAGCTGCTGCAAAATCCTGCCCCTTGCAGCCCTTTTGCACTGGGCAAGCAGCAGCTTGCCCAGGAGTCCCAGTCTCCATCAAAGCAGACCTGAAGGGAGGTTTAAGGATTGGGATGGATAGGGTTGAAAAGCAGAGGGACACCCATGGTGTTGCCAGTTCTGATCTAAATTCCTTGATCTGCAGTTCTTGCATAGAGCTGGCTGCGGCCAGAGAAGCCCGAAGTGGCTGGAAGTGTTTATGAGGGAGCATGTCCATCCCGAAACAGGGAGGGGGAAAGCTGTGTGCACAAAGCAACAGCCTCCCAAGCCTTGTGCAAACATCTCTCTGCTCTCCATGTCCCACGAATAGCCTCCCTGCCCACAGAGCCACAGGGAGGAGATCCTACTGAAGCAATCCATCACATGTTCCAGTGGTACAAAGCCTGCTGACAGCTGAAAAACTGTCTGGGCATCAGGGACAAAGGCACCTCTCTTCCAGACTTGCCAATTAGAGGGCTGTGCAAGCACAGGACAAGCACCCAGCCCTTCCGACGCTCTTCTCACCCTACTAACTGGGGAGGAAGCACTATCACAGCACCGCCTGCTGGCAGCAATCAGGCTGGCAGAGCGCCTTGTCATCTGGGCCAGGCACTTTGAAGTGCCATTGTCAGCTAAGAAACCTCCTCCAGGAAGGCGATTTCCCAATACCCAGGCACAGATCCTCCCACCAGAAGTGGTGATAGGTATCAGAGTACCTCAGAGGACCTTGGCCAGAGCTCCCACTTCTTTAGCACCTGGCAAGCTGTGGGTGAATCTGGTGCTCAGTAGGGATGAGCATCAACGTGTAGAAGTGCAGAAGCTCTCCTGACATGCAGCTGGCTACCCACTCTTCCGCTAGCTGTCAGTGCTGCCACTGGCTCCACGTCAATGCTGCAAAGCTGGTCTCCAAGAACCCTTGGCCACCAGGACCCTTCCCTTCCCTGGTTTAGGAGACCTCCCCAGGTCCATCCCCAGAGGATACACATGGACGTGTTCATAACTCGAACAAAGCTCTCTCTTACCGAGGCTGGCAATGTGACCACAGGCCTTGACTGTCCCCTCAACAGCTTTTGGGGCTCCCCATCCCTCTCCTGCCACTGTCGGAGCCAGCTGTCTGCTCTCAACTCTGTATCAATACCACGCTTAATTTACAGGGCAATAAAAGCTAATTAATGCTGTAGTTACAAACCCATTACAATGTAATTATTGTTTAATTGGATTATAAGTTATGCAATTTCCGACAAAGTGCTTATTGCTTATGTAGTAAAGCAGAAGATATTTACAAAGTGATTAATTGCTACAGTGCTAAGCAGCCAGCACGGTGTAGAGATGGGGACAGGGGCTGCCCGCCTCTCCCTGCACCAGGCCAGAGTAACAGTAGGAACCAGCTCCATCTTGGTGCTGCAAGCAGCTCAGCCTACTTCTCTCAAACCAGTGCTGGGACATGGGACACTTCCCAGCCCCTGGGAAGACAACACAAAGACCCCACTGGCTTCAGCAGAGTCAGGATTTCTCCCTGGCTCTGCACATCTGTCATAACCTCATGAAGCCCTTTTTTGCCCGACTCTTAATTTCCTAACTGCATTTCCTTGGCCTTTGCTAGGTACCTCTCCACAAGCTGACCATGGAAGAGCATCATCTATTGCTGCAGCCCACGACACAGCTACCCGAATCTGCTTGCACGGAGAAATACTAGCAGGCCTCTAAAGACAGACACTTTGCTCTCCCACTTTCCCCTTCCCTGCGAAAGGGAATAGAAGGAAATGGCTCCCAAGCAGCAGAGTATCAAGGCAGGAGGCTATTCACCCCATTGCCCTTTCACATCGGATGAGCCTCATCAGCTGTTATACATGTGTCTCACCTCATCTCCCCTGCACCCAAAGAGCTTTGGGAATGAAAAGGGCAGCTGCCACAGATAAGCACCTGGGGCTACAGATGACTTCAGCACAGAGATGGAGTCCAAGCCCTATCAGAGGAGGATTTAATTTGCCTTTGATAAGGCTGCTGGGCTTTGGTGTGCAGGAGCAGGCACCCACGTGACAGAGCTAGACTCACTGGGCATCCCTGAAAGCAAAAGGGACTGAGCATATAGATATCCATCAGTCCAAAACAGGCCTAATTCTGCCCCAGAGGACCTGGTGCACACTGCTTATGAGCATCAAGAACCCAGACAAGCTGTGGGTAAGCATGTTCGCAGCCAAGAAGGTCCTGGGACAGGCAGGACCCTTATGCAGGCAGCTGACATTTGTGACTTAGTGCTCTTGAGAGCAGCAAATTAAAAAAAAAATCGAGGTTTTTATGATTAATGTTGCTGGGATAATTACTGTTATTACTACTATTATTACTGTTTGGATATGGGCTTGTCATGGCTCATTTGGGGAGGAAAAAGTCACAGCCTGCTCATGGGAAAAAGGGCAAAACATGCTAAAGGCCATTCATTGCATGACTCAGGGCCAAATAACCCTCTCTTTTTTCAGTAATGAAAGATCATTAGACACCTAATAGGCATCCAGAGCCTTTTTGGCTTCTCCTCTCCCCTCCCTGAAATACCCTGCTCCACACACAGCCTATCTGACCCACGGAGCAAGGCTCCATCCTGCTCCCGAGGCTCCTACAGTAAAGGAAACTGCTATAAAAATGCAACAGAGCACTTTTCCAGCAGAAAATGCAGCTGCTTTGAATTCCCAGCAATTAAAAGTTTGACTGGAGGGGCGGAAGGGAGCCATTTGAATTTCTCTCACGCTTGCTTTGTTTACTTTTATGAGCGCTTTTTAAAATTTTTAGGTTGTTGCATTGTTATCTAAAGAAGCTGCCTCTCTGACTTCTTGTTTTATGGGAAATTCACAGCTTTCTAGACCTAAGTTTAAAAATAATAATCAACTTACAACCAGCAAATGGTCTGAATATTCGACACAATGCAACCGATCCAGCTGCATGTATCAAACTGTATGAAGCCCTCAAAAGTGGACATCTTCGCAGCTGCTTTCACGTGGCAGCTCCTCCACTGCTTGAATTATCTTTTTGTGACATTTCCAGCACTTAAAGAGCAGCAGGGGGATTTAGTATGTTGCTTTTGTGAATGGTATTTAAAGCTTCTTTTCATAACCCTGACCTGGTTTACCCTTTAACGTAACAAATCAATCTTCCCTTAAATTGTTTAGCTTCTAGTCAAACACAGGGAGTCTCAGTGATGTAAATATTATGTTTGCTCACTTTATAAGCCAGCACCCTCCATGGCTGCCTTTGCTTCTCTATAGAATTGATATAGGACCATCATACAGAGGAGGAGGGGGATGAAACCATTCAGCTCCCACCACCAATGGGATGCTTTCCTTGGGCAGTGGGTGCCAGGACCCCTATGCAGTGGCATTGCAAGGCTCAGTGCTGAGAAGAGGTGGGAAAGGAGTCACACAAAATATACTGGTTTCTGCTAATCTCAGCCAAATGAAGCACCCGTGTTCGGTTTGTAACATTTCCTGTGTCACCAGCTCCTGTTGCATTCTATTCTGCAGAGCCTCAGGCTCACCAGGCGAGGTTAAAGAGAACTCTCTTACCAAAACCAGCTTTTTGATATTTTTACTCCTTCCACAGGGCCAAACTACCTGGTTTGGGCATGACTACGTGAACAAGAATTTTCTCCCCCGCTTTTCCAGCCCCAGCTTACAGGTCAGCCACCAAACCTGAGCTCAGAGAGCAGCAGCATTCCTATTATCCAGGAACATCTACTCATATTTAATCCTGCTAAACTCCTGAACACGCCGACACCTTCTAGCAATGAGA